GTATCGATCACTAATCACCCCCTGATAGTTATTTTGAAAATATATTTCATGTACAGAATTGACCTCTCTACAGATTTATTATAAGTATAGAAGATTACTGTATCACTTAAATCAAAGCTAGACTAAAACGAATGTTGTGTTCAGCTACAATCGGAGTGCAAATTAATTGTTAATCTTTGTTCAATGTACTTTATTTTTAAGCCATGATTTGCAATCTGTTGCTGTACCTTAATAAATAAATAAATAAATAAATAATAGAAAGTAATAAAAACCACCGGTTATAGGGGCATTTTTTTGAGAAATTTATCAAATAACCAAAAAAACACGAATTTTTAAGCAGATTTTTTTCAAAAAGTATCATTTTTTATTATTTGTTGGCATTTTAACAAATAAATAATTAATATTTGAAACTAAGATTACCTAGTTAAATAAAAAATCACAAAATTGTCAGCCATTTAGGCTTAATGTGTTGGCGAATCAGGGAATTACAATCCCAATTCCAGGGTAATCGGTTTCGGTACCATGTGGCAACATCGGCCCAATCCGGCCCATCATGGCGGTTGTTTACTATTTTGTTTATTAAGCAGTTAATTTCGTTTGAGATTGTTTACAGGAAATAATCATTGTTTTATCACAAGAATTGGTGCAAAATTTTGTAGTGCGTGGTTGCGGTAGTACGTGGTGTCCTGGAAGTGACATAAGATTCCACGCGTAAGTGTTTATTTCGTGATTTCCGACATTGGATCATTGTAAACATTTTTCACATTTTTTACAGTAATTTCTTCCTAAAACGTTTTACCAGTAATTACACTTATCATTTTTAATGATACCCATGTCAAGAAATAAAGATTTTACATTGGTTTCATTGAATTTGAGCAATTTTATATTTTTTGTTTATTTAGAAAGAGCGAGTCTGCCCACAGAGAGCGAGATAGTGATACTTAGTTTGTGCTTCAAGTAGGTATTCGGAGTGTGGCCTCCATTTTTATCTGTAGCTTCATGAATCGGAATTACGTCATCTTGGCGCTCCAACGCGCAGTCACACAATTAGGCGAATGGTTCAGGAAGTGGCGTATCGAGGTAAATCCCGAAAAAAGTGCAGCAGTGTACTTTTCTAGGGCTTTGTCTGCGAAACGTCCTCCGGTTCGCACTCGTCCTAATGTCCCCACCCATCTCACCTTATTTGACCAAACTATTCCTTGGAAAAGTGAGGCCAAATACTTAGGTGTCACCCTCGACCAGAGATTAACGTTCGCTCCGCACCTCAGACGCGTCTTGAGCCGTGCAAACCACTACATCCACCGACTCTACCACCTAGTTGGAAGGAAAAGTAAATTGTCACTTAGAAATAAGTTGACAATTTACAAAACCTGCATCCGTCCAGTGTTGACTTACGCCAGTCCGGTGTTTGCTCACACTTCCTGCACAGACCTTAAGAAATTCCAGACCCTCCAAAACAAATTCTTACGCCGAGCCGCGGATGCCCCGTGGTTCGTGCGTAATACGAATCTCCATAGAGATTTCGAGATCCCATCGATTGATCACTTTATGAAAGAAGCCTCTCGCCGCTACTTTGATAAAGCGATCAACCACAAGAACCCTCTTATCGTTAGCGCCGCCACGTATACACCCCAAAAAGATGTCGCTGCCCAATACCGACGACCTAGGCATGTCCTAGACGACCCGGACGATCCTATTACCGAATTTCTGAACACAGACATCACTGCCTTAAGCACGCCAACTACTCCACAACACAGTAGCTCGTTACACCGTACTCGCCGGCGAGTACGACTGGACTTTGGTCCAACACCGCGGTGGGCAACCCTCTAGTTGGGTTCGCCACTGATCGGGCGCCTTATGCGCTCGATACGGCCCGATCGCGAACGTCGGTCTGCGACCGACGCGGACGAGCCTGGGCTTCGCGTAGCGAAGCCCAGGCTCGCCCGCGTCGGCCTCGTCGGGACGCGCACCGACGATCGCCAAACGGCTAGAGTACCTTCTGTACTCGCCACTCTGCCCGGTGAAGCTGGAAAAGCTCCTCAAGCTACAAGCGTGCGTCCCTTCAAAAAAAAAAAATGGCATTCTGTTACGAGCAGTCGTCAAGTGAACATCTCACTATCTTGTGGGCTAATTCAAATGCATTTGTCGAGAGTAGAAATCGTCTGTCAAATAATTTTCTAGTAATCAATTTTGAACTGATTGTCAAGGTACTACAGTTGAAAATTGAATATCAAAGCCAGACTACGCCTAATGTCAGATCAGCCGATGGTAGATGCCAAATTTCCAATATCGCGTACGAAGACGGAGAACTTTGTCAATATAGTGGTACATAAAGGTCATAATTAGTGGATGCCGACGATTTTCGCGCTGTCATCTCAACGACTGCCCACCCTTGTCGTTAGAGCAGTAGTATCGAGCTCTCTCCGCCGAATGTAAGTTATTTTTTTATAATTATCTCTGTGTTGATATTATTTTGTTATGATATTATTTTGTGTTATATTATATTGTTACTATGTTATTTTGTGTTAATTTGCTGGCCATATTTCCACTGTGTTGCTCACAAAGTAATTAAATATTGTTAATTACTGTTGAATAATATTTTAATAAATACCTCCCATTATTCTCTAACATAATATACGTTGATTCCTCACAAATGATAAGTACGTTTATTTCTTATACTATAATGTTCTCAAAAAATATAAAACCAATACTTTTAAACAAAAAATATCTGTGATTCTTAAATAATAAAAATTATTATTTTGTAACAATTTTAGATTTCCTTGTTATTATTTGTTAGTGACGAGTTTTAGAGTTACATTTTATCACATTAAACTATTAGAGTGCTATTATCATTGACTGATTAATGCAATTGCGCATCTGTGATTCTAAAAGTAATCTAATAACTTTAATATTTTGTGACAGTTAAACTTACTTTTATTGTTAATCAACAACTGATTAATGTAACTACGTATCTAAGATTCTTAAATAATAATATTTTGTAATAATTTTAGAGTTACTTTTTATCACATTAAGAGTGTAATATTGACTCATTATTGCAATTGCGCATCTGTGATTCTAAACGACATCGAATCTATAGGTTTATGACCATAATATTTTATGACAATTAAACTTACTTTTATGCTGAAGATTTTTTAAACAGTGACTGTTAAATAAAACTGATTATTATTTACACATTATTTTTGTTTTATTTTCGGTATGCAATACCGAGGTGGAACCTTTTAGATCTGTGTCATCCTTCACGTTTAGTGAAATACCGGGGTGGTTGAAACTTGATTTGATCCATCCGCCCCGTTAAACGATATACCGGGGTGGTTGACACTCCATGTGGTCCATCCACCCCGTTGAACGCTAAGACTATGACTACCGGGGTCGTTGAAACAGTTTTTCCCATCCACCCCGTTGACGGGGCAGATCCACCGGGGCCGTTGGGACTAACCCCAACGACTCTCTAAAGCACAACATTTATAAAAATTTTGCTGCGGTAATGCACTCGTTCAGCTTGGGTCATCTATAATAAGTTTTTTGTAGCGACGTTGCCGTGTTTCACGTTGGAAGAGCGGCAACAACTCAAAGCATGTCAAAACCATAAACGTGCCATAAAGCAAGTTAACTATTATGTCACACTAAAGACACACACACAACGACATTATAAAACTTTATTTTATCCCTTTCTCGCACTAAGCTTTGCGTCTTGAGTGTTGCTGTTTGTACGTGAGAATCCTTTTCCTGAACAGTTAGTTACAGTACAGCAACAACAGAGTTAAGTAGGTACGGCACGGTACCTATTCTGCTCTATAATGATGAGCGGTTGAGCCGGCTACTAGTTCAGACCACCTTCTTTTGTGTTCTGTGATCATTACACGCTAAGAGAGTGTAGGTATCTACCCTAAGTAAGAGTTATATTTAATTCCCTAGAAATAAAATTGGTAAAATGTAAAACGTAAATTTCACAAAAGTAACTAAGCTTACTTAATTAATAATACTCAATATTAAATATTTTATTGCATCCATTATGTAGGTACTTAAAATTAGAACATTATGGACCCTGTAGGGCACGGCAATTAGGAGAGAGGAGGACCACTCTAGATCAGCCGAAAAACTAGTTAGAAGTTAAAGCCTTATAATTTAAATAGGCTCACTTAAAGCATTAGTGTTTGGAGATTAAGTTCAAAAACTTTGTTCAAACATCACCTAAAGGCGCTTGGTACCGCCCGCCGCCCGCACAGCCCCTGCGTACCCCGCTACACCACCGAGTGCATGCGGCCGCCGCCCCGGAAGAGCAAGACGACTGAAATCATTCAGTCGCGTCCTCGTAAATACCTAACATAACATTTTCCTGATTTTATGGAATTTTCCGTGACAATTTAAAATATATTTTTTTGGCATCATGCATCAGTGTTATTTAAACTACCACACATGAGATGAGCGTTGTTTTACAAAACCACATCCTGTATAAGGACATATCATTAAATAATATAATTTAAATTACTTACAGCTGTCACCATGGCCAAGAACGTTGATAGAATTATGTGCCCCATGTCGAGGAAACTCATTATACGGAAATTGTCGGAAAGGTAATATAGCCCCCCAAAAACTATGAGCATAGTGTGGTAAGGTAAAGTTTCTCTGTGAATCCGAAAGAATAACGGCTGGAGCTTGTCCTCGAATATATTTGATGGCCATATTCCTGATGGGCCCAAAGCATTTTTCACTGTTATTATGTAGCTCAGAGTCGATGGGTTTTGGTGACTGAAAAAAGTGCAATTTGTGATCATAAAAGTTGTGTATTATTTATTTAGTTTTCCACATTTTAGTGCACCTTTTGGAGTCGGTTCTGTTAAAATTATTTTCACAAAACAAATAAATTATAGTAAGTAAATAAATATGATGATGATAAACTACGAGTAAATATGTATACTTAGTTATCTTTTGACAAAAAATCTTTACTTACACGGCGGGCATAATTTTAACTAAATAAAATTACAACAATACAACTGAATTTCACCCATCGCAAGGCTATGAATGACTTAGTATTTTGATGCCGAACACATAAACATTTAAAAATATTTTATATAATTATCATATTTAATGCAATAATAATTAGCTTAAATAGCACAGTAAATAGATTAAAAGTAGTCTCGCTAAAACAAATGAAGGTAATATTATCGTGAAGAGTGCTTTCTTGTTGTATTCTTTGCACACTTTTGACTTACAGGTCATCATCATTGTTATCTCAGCCATAGGACGTCCACTGCTGAACATAGCCCCCCCCCCCTCAGCAGATACCTAGTCTAGTAAAATTGTCGTCTGAAAGGGGTGGTACCTTGTGTTACTAGCATCACTTCATAAACCATATCACTTTGTCGGACCTAAGTAGGTACCTATAATTCACGTACTTAGGGTGGATCCAACCAAACGAGTAAATATTAATCCAGAATAAATCGTCAGTTTTGACATATTTCCCATACTGAAACTCAATGTGCCAGTGGAGATAATCTCGGATTAAAGTTTGGTCGAATCGGGCCTTAAACGTCTTGAGAAAGATCTAGAATACTCTAGATGTAGAGTCTAGATAATTTATGGAAATTAACTTAGAAGGTCCTTCTTTAGATTAAGTAAGAGGTGGTCAAACTTTGCAAACCTACTGTATTATGTGTGCAGTACCGAGAGACCTCTATATCTGGACAGGTGACATGTTGATAAGCGTTTAAGAAGCTATACTTAATGTATCATTATAATCACCGGTGCATTTTTTTTAATGAAATAATTACCCTAAAATAGCATAGATATTATTTAGAATACTTAAGCATGAGGGAAAATTTGCAGGTGCATTATGCCTACTTCGAAATATTGTTGGTTGCTTGTTACTCTTTCACGAAAAACTACTTAACGAGTTTTGCTGAAACTTTACATTATAAGAATAATATAGGGCACAAAATAGTCTTTAATTAAATAAAAATTCTTACAATTAATTTTATCTTCTAAGGAGGAGGTCTTTAAGGGCACTTTTATACGCAGTTACTGTATATTAAGAACGAGTATTACTTTATTATTTAAAGATTATTAGCAATTTGTATTGCACAAATTACTAATAGTTTCTTTAGCCCCTCGTGGTAAGCTAGATAAGCTTGTGTTACGAATGGGCTCACCACAATAGTCGAGCGGTGGGATTCGAACCCGCATTCCTCGGATTTCGACGAGTCGGCCAGTCCGACCACTTCATTACGCCAAAGGACAATGGGCAAAATGGTACCCGGCTCCAATAGATATGCTTCTAGTGTCGTTTGAAAGGTCTTACCAAGACGAACAACTTTTACTATGGCCACTAGCCTCAGATCTGGTTGTGTTCGAAGATAAACATACTTTTTTGCAAAATGGTATTCGGCTCCAATGGTTATGTTTGTAGTGTCATTTGATAGGTCTTACCAAGACGAACAACATTTACTATGGCCACCAGCCTCAGATATGGTTGCGTTCTGAGCTAAACTGACTTTTTGTGTAACCGAAGTATCATTCGTGTCCATCGTATGGTCTTAGGTTATGCGAGGCATGAAGGGTTTACTGTTCCAGTATCCTTCCTTAACTCTATAATTATTAATAGGGATAATTGTGAAATAAATGTTTTTATTTGAAGAACTACTAGCTACCCCCTTATTAATAAAAAGTTATGCCTAGGATGAACCTTGGATTTAAATGACATTTCCATACCAAATGACAATTTAAGCCAGAGTTCAACTAGGGTGTAACTTTTATTAATAAAGGTGTTGGAGTTTTATCACTTCTTAAAGGTTTTATTGTGGGTTGCTAAAGCGAATAAACCCACAAGACCCAATAAGTCCACCCACAAGATGGACCGACGACCTCATAAAGGGTGGCGGGAAGGCGCTGGATGCAGGCCGCCACCAACCGGCCATTGTGGAAATCCTTGGGTTAGGCCTATGTTCAACTAGACGTCCTATGGCTACAATGATCATGATGATGATGATGAAAGCGAATAAAATGCCAATGGCTTGGGTAGTTCATCGTAGGGATAATCCTTTCCTTTTCAATGTTTATTTTAGTTATATTAATAGATTCTCGTCATAGTACATACTCGTATACATGGATGATTGTGTTATACTTTCATATAATACTTATTGGAATTACTGCTTTCAAAACGTGAATTAGAACTGGCCCCATAGCAGACATTTTTCTACATCTAAAGGCCTTTTGAAATATATATTGGTTATGGCTATTGGAGCGGGTACCACTTTCCATACATTTTTGCCCATCATCCTTTAAATATATTTTTTTAATTAAAATTCAAGTGTGCGGCTTTGGTTAAACGCATGTTGGGTGGTAAAATAACATTTAATTATGTGTCATCGTGTCATGCAGAAAATTATAGCATATTGGCCTTCAGTGAATAAAATTAAATAATAATAGCCTTTTGGAACTTAGGATAATGCAATCTTTTTCTAAAATCCTACGAGTAAGAGTTCCGTAGATTTTCATTGCACCTCATAATATAAGGATTATCTATCTATCTATATATAAATAAAAATGAATTGTTGTTCGTTAGTCTGATTAAAACTCGAGAACGGCTGGGCCGATTGAGCTGATTGTGGTTTTAAAATGTTTGTCGTAGTAGTCCAGGGTAGGTCTAAACGGTGAGCAAATAAGGAAAAATTGCGATGGCTTATTTATTGCCTTTAAGGCGGAACAGAGTTCGCGGGGTCAGCTAGTTTTTAATAAACATAGGTACAAATGAAATACAAGATTACCCAGGAAATATCTCTCTCTATAATATACCTACCTAGTACCGTACCAGTATTTATCGTTAGTAACTTTCCCTATCCTAACGTTTAACGTATCCCTAGCTTAAAGTTTTCCTTGAAAGTTCATGAAAAGGAGTATTCTAGATTTTTTAAGAAAACAGTTTATTTTTTAGAAAGGACGCCTTACCTATACCCTATCAATGACACCCCGCATCAAACAAACTCAAGTCATTGCATTATCTTTGAAGTTATAAAAACAATATAAGCACTGTACGAGTATAAGTAGGTATGAGTTAATCGATCATAGGCCACATGATGGAGTTTATCTAGCATTTTACTATCATGTAAATAAGTACAACTTTTGTAAAAAAAATATTTAGCTATAAATAGGGAATAACAATATATTAATTACCTTTTTTAATTGAAATTATTGGCGAATTTATCGCGAGTTCTCAAAACAGAATTTAACAATTCTTCCGTGTTGCTAATCTATAAAAAAAAACTACCAAATTGCGTTTAGTTTTACGCAATTCGTGATTCATTTCATACGAAATGGAAGTTTCGATCAAAGTCATCCCGTGAAACAAAGTAACCCTGGTTTACGTACCTACTTACGATAAAGCTTTAGCCAAACCAACGAGAGCAGATCGCGTCGGCGATGGCGATCACTGCGCGTGCATATTGCAATGACAGGATTGACAGGACGCGCGTTCTGTCATTGGTCGCCTGTCCTAAAGGCTCCCGACGACAATGAGGCTCGTGTGGTACGGTAGAGTCGCCCTGTGAAATATCACGACCACCGAAAGCTTCTCTCCGAATATTTCCGCCGGCCATGCGCCCGGAGCGACCATAAAGGTCCTTATCATTTTGAAATAATCCAATGCTATTGGGGACTTCTCTCTGCAAAATGTTAGTCGTATGAGTCATGAGATGTACAACATTGTGGCGAATTGACTGAATACACTGGCGTTTCCTGCAAATTGTACCTTCTGAATAACATTTTTAGGAAGTAAAACTCAGAAATACGTTCAACAAAGAAGTTTATAAATACAGTGATGGTTGAGTACAAAGCTTTGAATGACGTGCGTCTTTTACAACTTTTTTATGAATATGCGAAATTAAAATCAATGAAAGCAGATTCAGTAGACTCCTGCGTGTCTTTTTGTGAAGAAGACGTTATATTGCAGTAGCTACGGAATATCGTGGTGGTACATCTCCTGTAGCATTATGCTCGTAAGTTAAACTTTTAACCTCATTGATAAATTGATGGTTTTATAAACCAAATAGCACAAGCAGGCCCACTGCGTCGTGTTATGTACCTAGTTAGACCATCGCACTCGTTGCCAATTAACACAGTAATATTCTGTATTAAATTCCTCTGTCAATGCTATCCTTGTACGTTCTGAATGTAATCACTCGTTAGAACTGACATATTATTATGAGAATATTGCACATGCAAAATGGAATTAATATCAAGTATGTACCTACCTACACTACTACTTACTCGTAAGTATGTGGTCATTACGCATTTAAACCAACTTCAAAATGCGTCTTTTGACCTCAGGAAGTAAGTAGGTAAAGGTAGGTAAGGTAGTAAGTTTTGCTAAATGTAAAATTTCGTTAATTAATAATCTTTGTGTAAATGAAACATGGCCAAACAATAATTTGGTAAATAGGCCAGTAGAATAAAACATGAAAATTTATCGAATCGGAAATAAGTCCTACAAAAGGTTTTATTGTTTTAATAGCTTCATTTGTAGCCCATTTAAGAATATTCTAGGTTTTCGATTTAGCCGGAGTTGTGCTTAAGTGGTGGGGGGCATTTTTGCGATTTTACGGTTATACCGTGTAAAGGACGTATCGAAAACTGATCTTAATGACTGTGGAAGGGCATTTAATCCTTCCTTGCATCCTGCACGACTGCGTTGCCTAACCGTATGCATGGTCCCTTTTCAAGGCTTGAGAGCCTGTGGGTAACGAGCCATTGGACGTAGAGAGGGTAATTAATTATACGTATAATTTCTACTTTGTCGAAGATAACCACGATAACAGTTTGGCCAAAACATATAAATTTGGTCATATTCAATGCAGGATTTAACTAATTCCCTTAACCGCTTGAGTCCCAGACGGCATTCATTAATGTCATAACAATTGATTTAAATCTATTGTGTCTAGATTCGCGGGCCTTGAAGGATTAAACCGTCGTGAAGATCAGTTTTTGATATTGTAAGTCCTTTACGTGGTATAACCGTAAAACCACAAAAATGTCCCTTTCAGGGGC